ACAGGCATTGGGTGGGGTGGGAAGGGAGGTATATTGGGGTTCTTGGTGGTGAAAAGTGAGTACTGGTGAAGGGAAAGGGGTTTGATCATTGTATGACCGAGACTTAAACCTGAAAGCTTAGTAACTTTTCCCACAGTGATTCGATAAATAAATATAAGACGAAAAATAAATAAATAAAACTATGGGAAAAATAACATAGGAGTAGTAAGTGGGTGAAGGGGAACTCTATCCAGATGGCATGCACATCCAATTTTGTTGAACTGTTTAGGGAATCGGTACTGAAATGCGGAGGCACAGCAGACAGAGGGAGCACGGCAATGGGTTGATGAATGAATCCCATCTGTCCATTTCTCCTGGGTGGCTGATAGAGAGCATTTTGAAAAACATGCCACCAGGTCAAAGAATGAGTTGACTCAGCCATCAGCCCTCTTCTAATCTTTCTTTCCCTTAATTTTTTTTTATTATCTTTCTTGTTTTGGAGTAACACCTGGCAGTGCCCAGTGGTCATTTCTGGCTTTGCACTCAGAAATTACTCATGTCAGTGCTTGGGAGACCGTATGGGATGTTGGGGATGGAACCGGGAAGGGCCACGTGCAAGACAAATGCCTTTTACCTCCTGTACTATCTCTGCAACCCAAGCATTGCATTTCTCTCTTTACCAACATGTTTCTGTTTCCCACTCAGTGGAACAACCTACGGTTGTCCCAGATTCTTGCGTTTATATTTCAGTTCTAGACACAGAGAGCTGCCTTGGAGTCTTGGTGCTAAACTCTTAGGTTGCAAAGAGATTCGGGTTTCAGGAAAGGAAGTTGACTCAATGGACCTGGTCATATCAGTGATGATGGAGTAGGGTTCTGCATCCACCGGGATCCCATCCCCCCTGCCTAGGAAGCGAGGAAAATTGAGCAGTTCTTGCTCACTCTTCAAGCTCTTGTTTCTGCCTTGAACACGTGTCTTGCTGTCTTGCTTGTCTCTCTGTCTCTTTGCAAGGTCTTTCAACTCTGGAGAAGCCCATGTTCTCTTTTAAACACATATTTCTTTTCTTTCTCTCCACTCACATCTTTCTAAATAAGTTTAAATAAAAACTACCTTGCTTCACACACACACACACACACACACACACACACACACACACACACACAGGATTGAGCAGTTCTTAGAAAAAGGGCATCACTGTGAACAAAGCAGACATTTCTAGATTCTCTACTTGGAAATGTCTTCTATGTAACAAATGTTCTATAAACCATGACTGTTATAAAAAAAAATCATAGAGTAGCATTATTCTAATTCTTTTGAAAGGCTTCCAGAAAAGATTATAGATAGCAAGAAACACAAAGACACTTACTGGGCAAAAAGTTTCCTTCATGTTCCAGACAACTGCGTAATCTCAATTAGGACTGGGTCTTTACTGAGAATGTCCTTGAAATTAATTTTTCTTATCTAATGTTCACAGAGCACAATCAGAGTGGCCAGCACAATCATAAACCAAGAGAAGGCATCACCCTGGGATCTACTGTTTCCCCTCAGAGAGAAGCCTTTGTTCTAAATGGTAACGATGGCTGCCAGTTGTTAAACGGTTTTCTCTGCCAATCCTCTGACAAGCCCTTTGAGATTATTCTCCCATTTAATGTTCTCATTAATGCCGTGGGAGAAGTGGGGTCATTACGATTTCCCAGATAGAGAAGATGAAGCTCAAAGATTAATAAACATCTTAGCACACACACAAAGAGCAAGACTGGGTTTCAAAACCAGTTCTATTTGCTGAAGGTTTTAATTCACTTGCCTAGAAGCCTTCAGCCCCATCTAAGCATGACTCCCAGCAGAAAGGTTAGTAACTCACATTGCTTTTTTAGAGGGTACCCTGTCCATCTTTCTCTCAATCTCCATAGACCTCTTTGAACCTTCCTGAAAAAGAAACCATGGGTAACTCTGCCTCCTAGTAGCTCCTCGGAGAATTTTTTTTTTCTTTTTGGATCACACCCAGTGAGGCTCAGGGGTTACTCCTGGCTTTGCACTCAGGAATCACTTCTGGTGGTGCTCGGGGGACCATATGGGCCATATGGGATGCTGGGAATTGAACCCGGGTGGGCCGCATGCAAGGCAAACGCCCTACCCGCTGTGCTATTGCTCCAGCCCCTCCTGGGAGAATTTTAATGTTCCTCCATAACCTTGTTCCTTCCCCCCCTTCAGTGATGGAACCCTAAGTAGAGTCCACCGAAGCTGAGATGGTCAGGCTCTCATCTTGTGTTTTGGACTTGGGGGCCAAGAGGTTAACCAGATCTCTTTTTAGTTGTTAGAGTTCTAATATATAAAACATAAGAGTGGGGGCTGGAGCGGTAGCACAGCGGGTAAGGCGTTTGCCTTGCACGCAGCCAACATGGCCAACACAGGTTCGATTCCCAGCATCCCATATGGTCCCCCGAGCACCGCCAGGAGCGATTCCTGAGTGCATGAGCCAGGAGTAACCCCTGAGCATCGCAGGGTGTGACCCAAAAAGCAAAAAAAAAAACAACTTAAGAGTGGTGAATAGTGGGGCCAGAGCGATGGCCAGAGCCTTGCACCCAGCAGCTGACCTGGGTTCAATTTCCCGCGTTCCATCTGGTCCCCCAAGCACCACTAGGAGTGATCCCTGAGTACACAGCCAAAAGTAACCCCATGTATATTGCTGGGAGTGACTCATAAACAAATAAAAACAAAAAGAAGGGCCAAGGATTTTGCCACTGGGTGGAAGGAAGTAAACAGAGTAGAACTGAGACAACAGAGGTAGTTTTGTGGGTTTTCAGTCCAGGGTTTCTATGTTTATGATACAATGATGTGATTTCAATTCACATACAATAAGTGTTTAAACTCGAGGATCCAAACTTATTTGTCCTGATGCTCCTTTTTCAGAAAATAAAAACTACTCCATGCTCTCTGGAAACCTACCTACCTTCTGTAAGAGAACAAACAAAAGTGCCTCCTAATTGCATCTGGGGATACTACCATGCCCTGGGAATTCCAGAGATTTCTCATGGAGGAGGTTGAATGGTCACATCGTACACTTGGGAAAACGTAAATTCAACTGTTATGAATGCAAGGGTCACTATGCCCTGATCTCCTAATATTCCTCTGATATCTACCATGGTGCCTGGTCCATAATTGCAGCCAATAAAGTTGTTGGATCAGTGAATGACACATTATTTTTATTGTTATACTTGTTCCTGATAAATAATTACATTCAATATTCCAACACCAATCCCACCAATCCCAATACACCTTCCCACCACCACGCAAGACTGCCCCAAAGGCAGATCTTAAATAATTTATCTTATGTTGCTTGTTGTGAATAATCCACTAAAAATGATACAGAAATTTTCCTTAGAAGAAAATGTGTGAAGGTTGTTTATCTAATCCTGGAGACAATGACACATTCTTTTTTCTTTCTTTTTGGGTCACACCCGGGAGATGCACAGGGGTTACTCCTGGCTCATGCACTCAGGAATCACTCCTGGCGGTGCTCAGGGGAACCATATGGAATGCTGGGAATCGAACCCGCATCAGCTGCGTGCAAGGCAAACACCCTACCCACTGTGCTATCACTCCAGCCCCCAATGACACATTCTTACACTCTAAGAATTCTCTTTCTTTCTTCTTTCTTCTTTCTTTCTTTCTTTCTTTCTTTCTTTCTTTCTTTCTCTCTCTCTCTTTCTCTCTTTCTTTCTTTCCTCCTTATTTCTTACTTTTTAATATATGCAAACCCTTGTCTCAGGAAGATTAAGTCGACTCAACTTTATCATCCCCAAAGTCCTGGTTATGAATCAGATTACTCATCCATTCAGACATACACTTGCACACCCACTCACCAATCAACACGGAATTCTCCTATGAACCATACCCTGCTAGAAATGGCAGAGCAAGACCCAAAGACCATGGTCGTGGAAGACTTTCTGTCTAACTGGGGGGAGACTTTCAGTCTCTGAGGTGTAACTGGTATTTTCCACACACCTTCCACATTCCTCGCAGGTTTGTCCCTTTCTCCAGGAGTCTCTGCCCCCAACCCCTCCCCCAGAGCTTACATTCTAGTACCACTGCCCACATCTCCTTTCACAGAGGGAAAGAGCAGCCTCTAGCCCAGTGTCCCACCAGTTGCCCTGGTGGCTTTCAGCTCTGCCCAGCAAAGCTACATCCCAATCTCCAGGGTTGCCTTGACCTCCATCAAGGTGATCTCTGGCCATGTTTTACGGGCTGCTCTCGGCTTGGCAGTCTGTCACCTGCCTGATCTTGAGTGCCAGAAGTGCCTAGTGAGCGTCACCCCTTTTCTTTGAACTCCCTTTCATTCTCCCTCCTGCTCCATCATGATCTGTCCAGATGCTAAGGTGATGGTTTCTGTTCTCTTCAGTCTCCTCCCTCTCCCAGAGTCAGCTTGGTTTTCCTCCACCCACAAAGAGAGCCCCACACCATCACCATCCACTGAAGACGAAATACATCCCATTTTTTCTTTGTAATTATCTCAATATGAAATCAATGTCATTATCCCATTTTACAGAAGTAACTTGGCTTCAGAGAGACTATTTGCACAATAAGAAAGCAAATTGTCATTGCATTTTTTTTTCTTTTCAGTAAGGTCTGTGGAAGAGACAACTGTTTAGATTCCGTTTAGACAGTGTCACTCTTCAGTGTCCACAGGGTTTGATGTTATTAAACCTGAATTAAGAAGACTCATCTGGGGGCTGAGCAATCATCCAACTCACCCATAATGCAGGAAGAAATTCTGTCCAAATCTTCTAATTCAAAAACCACCCCAGGGCCTTTCAAGATTTAATTCTGTGTGAATAACTTACGGTTTTGCTGAGCAATAAAAAATATTTGTATGATGGAAATTTCCACTTACGAAAATTTAAAGGCCAGTATCATAAACCCCAGAGACATCACCCAGTGCACCAGAAAAAAAAAAAAGCAGGCCACTGAAGGTACATCTATGATTCTCTTGCATGCTCTCTCACAACCCAGTTAGTTTTTTTTTTAATATGGAACACTTCAAGAATTTGCCTGTCATCCTTTCACAGGGATCATGCTAATCTTCTCTGTATCATTCCAATTTTAGTATATGAGCTGCGGAAGCGAGCACACAACCCAGTTAGTCTTAAGCAAACCCTTATTTGATATTTTTCAACATATAAAATCAAATAGGGGCTGGAGCGATAGCACAGCGGGTAGGGCGTTCGCCTTACAAGCGGCCAACATGGCCGACCCGAGTTCGATTCCTCCGCCCCTCTCGGAGAGCCCGGCAAGCTACCGAGAGTATTCGATATGCCAGACACAGTAACAACAAAGTCTCCAATGGAGACGTTACTGGGCCCGCTCGAGCAAATCGACGATCAACGGGAGGGCCTTTACCTTTTACCTTTATAATATCAAACATTACATACTGTCAAGATGATACCTAAAAATGAATAGTTATTCCCTTACTTTAAATGCTCAAGCGTGGGGGCTGGAGAGAGAGCACCATGAATAAGGAGTTTGTCTCACACAGGGTCAACCTAGGTTTGATCCCTCACACCACATACGGTCCCCGAGCACTGCCAGGAGTGATCCCTGAGTGCAGGAATAGGGGTAAGGCCTGAGCACCATCGCATGTGACCAACCACCTAGAAACAAAACACACAAAACAAGATGAAACATTCTAGAATCATTGAAATTCTCTTTACTCTATTACAGATTTTAATCATTGCTCTTATAGAACCAGAAGTAATAAAGGGCTAGACATTGTATTTGCTTAAAGATTTGGGGGAGGGCTTTTTTGGGTCACACCTGGCAATGCTCAGGGGTTACTCCTGGCTCTGCACTCAGGAATCACTCCTGGCAGTGTTCAGGGAACTATATGGGATGCTGTGGCTCGAACCCAGGTCAGCCGTATGCAAGGCAAACATGCAACCTGCTATAGAATCACTCCAGACCCTGTTTAAAGGTTTTTAAATCTCTTGAGACTGTGGTTTCTTCCTGCCTATTTGATTTTGCATACTTTTAAAGGCTTCCTTAATAAAAGATGCAAACATGTAAAGATTTCTTTATTTTAGGATTTGCTTTTTATTTATTATTATTTGGGGGACACACCCAGCAGTGCTCAGGAACCACTACTGGCTCTGTATTTGATGGTCATTCCTGGTGGTTTAGAGTACATGTGATACCAGGTATTAAATCTGGACTTCCAACGTGCAAAGTCTGTGTTCAACCCATTGAGTTAAATAGCCCATGAGTTCATTGAAATGATGTGATATTTGATCTGAAGAACAGTACTTCTATAACCTCCTGGGTATCTTAGCCAACTGTATGATTTGGTTAGTCAGAAGTGGGACCAGAGATGCTGTATTTCTACCTGTTTCCCAGGTGTTCTTGGGTAGAATTTTGACCTGGGAACTGTCTGGGAAACGTATCTGCGGAGCTTCACATTGTAAATTTTGCTGATTTTACTAGATGCATCCTTGAAGCATTCTTGTTTCCTGTATTGTTATTAGGCGGCGTGGTTGAATTCCCCGTCCATTATTTTGATAGGAGTTTTGCATGGCCTGAGCTCTATGTTTTTGCTTAGAGTCACATCGGGAGGACCAGAGTGTTGGATTGTCTCCTTTCAGTGATGCTAGATATTTAGGGTCATATATTGCCTGATTGTCCCACTACAGAAAGCCCAATTGGTGGTTTAAGTAGAATCGATGTCGTCATTATTGAGAATGGTAATTCTCAGTGCTGACTACACATTAGAATCATCTGGGGAAATTTAAAAGACACTCATGCAAAAGTCTAGCTTCGGATCAATTAATTGAGAGTTGTTGTGGGAATTAGGTAGAGAGAGAGACAGAGAGAATGTCTGTATGTGTGTACGTGTGTATGTGTGTGTGTGCCTATGTGCACTCAAACACATTCCTACTGAACATATTTAAACCTTTCATCCCATTGTAACAGGCAGCATCTAGGCTTGAAAAACTATTGGCCTAAATCAACTTTATATCCTCATTTTAGCTTCTGAAATGGTTATATTCTCAATATCTTCCTTTTTCTTCACTTTGCTGTTAATTAACACATTTCTCTTAATGTGTACAAGTGCTGATTTAGATAGAGGCATCCGGAGGAATAGCACAGAGTCTTAGAGTGCCAGTCTTGCAAGCATTTGGCCACAAGTTCAAACCCCCAGAGTTCTGCATACACCAAGCAAGATCCTTGGATTCCATGTGGTACCAGGTATTAAACCAGGGGCTCCAACATGCAAAGCCTACGTTCAACCATTGAGCTATATCTACCAAGTGCTCTAGGTGCTATCCCTTGCGGTACCACAGCTAGGTGTGTGAGCGCCACACGTAGGGGGCTGATGCCTGTTGCACACTGCAACTAAAGAAAAAAAAAAAAGTGTGGGCACCAGGACCAGGAAGTGTAACCTCTAGCAAGCGTATTTGTGAGGACCACAGCGCCCTCTGGTGAGCACAATGATAACTTGTACCTCAGTTGAAAATGCCCCATCACACACACACACACACACACACACACACACACACACACACACACAGAAGCAAGCACCACTACTAGAGGAGATAGAGGAGTGTCATCTTGTTGGTGTGTGCCACAGCTGAGTGCCAACTCCAGTCACCGCAACAACTTCAACCTCCTCTAATCTCTCTACGTTTTGCTAGTTTTGCTAGTTCCCCAGTAGAAGAGAGGAGAATCTCTATAAATAAAAAGGAAAAAAATGTTAGTATGCTAAACAATCATCACCTGATGCAGGAGAAGCTGGTCAGTTTGACTTTCTACATCCTTCGGTGAAGGGCGAAGGGGGAGGACAAGAAAATGAAATCAATAAACAAATGAATAAGTGAAAATTATTTTTAAAATAAAATAGAGAAGACGGTTTAAAAGAAAGTGTGGGCTGGGAGGGTAGGGCATTTGCCTTGCATGCAGCCGACCTGAGTTCGATTCCCCGCATCCCATAGGGTGCCCCAGCACCGCCAGGAGTAATTCCTGAGTGCAGAGCCAGGAGGAACCCCTGTGCATCACCAGGTGTGACCCAAAAAGCAAAGAGAGAGAGAGAGAGAGAGAGAGAGGTGATACGCTGAAAAGTCAGTGAGCTCCACTTTAGACCATGAGACACTCGCTGTCTTTACTCACATTCCCTTCTCTAGAGATCCCATGGTTTAGGGAACCCCTATCCCACAAATCAAGCTACCATGAAATGTCCTGAGCTTTCTTCCCCCGTCACACACATAGCAAGTTTCTAGAATAGATGTTTTCAGAGGAAAAAGCCTGAAGTCACCCACTTTGTTCAACGGCTTTTATATTTTGCTTTGGGTTCACACCAGCGTGCTCAGGACTTAACTCCTGGATCTGTGCTCACCCCTGGTGAAGCTCTGAGGATCATCTGGGGTACCAGGGATAGAACCCCGTTGGCCACATGCAATTCAAGTGCCTTACCCCTGTACTAATGCTCTGGCCCTGCTTAACTGCTTTTATTGTAAATCCCAATGAGTCATTGAAAATGACTTCTTGAATGCTGTCTCTGGGCTTCGGGGGATACAAGAATTAAAATACCGAGATTAATTTGCAAAGGGAAAAATTTCAACCTCCCCTAATCGCTCTAAGTTTTGCTGGTCTTGGCATTTCCTGGTAGGAGGAGAGAGGAGAGAGTCTACAAATAAAAAGGAAAAAATGCTAGCACGCCAAACACTCACCACGGCTGCAGGAGAAGCTGGTCAGTTTGACTTTCCACGTCCTTCGGTCTGACTTGCTCATTCTACTCTCTCTCTCTCTCTCTCTCTCTCTCTCTCTCTCTCTCTCTTTCTCTCACTCACTAGCTCTCTCTTGCTCCTTTCTCTATGTATAATATTTATATTATATTTATATTTATAATGGGCTGGAGCAATAGCACAGCGGGTTTGCCTTGGACACGGCCGGCCCGAGTTCGATTCCTCCGCCCCTCTCGGAGAGCCTGGCAAGCTACCGAGAGTATCTTGCCCGCACGGCAGAGCCTGGCAAGCTACCCGTGACGTATTCAATATGCCAAACACAGTACCAACAAAGTCTCCAATGGAGACGTTACTGGGCCCGCTCAAGCAAATCGATGAACAACAGGAGGACAGTGACAATGATCAGTATATTTATAATATATTATATTTTAATATTATTTATATTATCTATTTTTAAAATTAGGTTCTTAGAACCCCAATGAATGAGAATAAGCTCCATTTGAGACGAGCACAGAGTAGGCCGCTTTAAAGCTGAGAGCAGTTTTCATTTGGGGCTTGGACTGCAGTTTGAGGCTCCCTGCCATGCCGGGCCCCGAGCTTGTCCCAAACGCCTCTCTCTCCGCACTCTCCCTGCAGACTTCATCGCCGTCGATCCTCAGGACCCGAAGCATGGCAGGGCGGCCCAAGCTTCACTACTTCAATGGCCGAGGCCGGATGGAAACCATCCGGTGGCTCCTTGCTGCCGCTGGAGTGGAGGTAAATGATGGATTTATTCGGAGTCGTTTTGCCCTGGGGTCTTTGAGCTTTTGAATAGTGCCAAGATCTATAGAGGATTCCTTGTATGGTTCTCAGACAACAAGCAACTTAAACGAGAGTTTGTAAGCGAGGCTTGTTCTTTTAAGCAATTGTCCCAAGTACTGTGGAAAGTGGTGGTTGACAGACCTCAGCCCAGGGGGTGTCCAGAATGTTTAAGGGAGGAACGGTCACGATCACGATCATTCTGTTGTTCATCGATTGCCTCGAGCAGGCACCAGTAACGTCTCCTTCGTCCTAGCCCTGAGATTTTAGAAAGTGCCATGTTCAAGGCTCTTTCAGGGTCAGGAGAATGAGATCCATCATTGTTTCTGGTTTTGGGCATTTTGAGTATGCCACGGGGAGTTTGCCAGACTCTGCCGTGTGGGCAGGACATTTTTGGTGGCCTGCCAGGTTCTCCAGAGTAGATAATAAGATGTCGCAAGGTTTTATAGTCTCTGGGTTTTGGCCGTTGATGGGACCAACGTGGCGCTGGAGGCAGTTGGTGGGTGTGACGCCTACCTACTGGAAGATGGGGGATCTGGGTGGAGAAGGCCCAGCCCCGATCCAAGCAGGCTTGCAGATCTCAGCCCCGGGACTTGCAAGC